CCTTGCAGATACCCAGGGGTCTAACCCATGGCGTCTAATCACCCTTGAAGGGCCCTTAAAGAGATTTGAACCAGGGAAGAGGGGCCAGGACCACCCCTTAGGCAGTTTCACTAATTAGTGTCTGAGGCTGGTTGTTGAGCAGGGCACCGGGCGGGCAGGAGCTCACACTGGCACAAATTCAATACTAGCTCTGTAATACTCCTCTAAGACCCCAGCCTCCCTACGTGGTGACGTGAAAATGTCAATTTGCTTGGCCTTCCCCCTGGGAGCCTGGTGGATTCCTTTAATATGTGTGTGTGTGTTCTGTTGTCCCTGGGCCCTGCCTTCGAGGTTGTTTTCTGCAGGGAGGGTCACCACATCCACCCCCTGTGCGCTGACAGCTCCATAGCCATCCTTTGCCTCCATTTGATCCTGTCGAAATGACAGAGCAGCTGAGCGGTGCTGGCCAGCAGATAAACCTGTTATCTCCCCTGCTCTCTGTGCCAGCAGCTCTCCCCATCTTCTAGGTGCATGAAAAATTGACACCACCTTGGGCTGAAATCTGTTCCTAGGGAAGCTACATTTATTAGGGGCTAATGAAACTGTGTGTGTGTCTGTGTGTGTGTGTTAAGTATAAAACTTGGGGTGGCTGAAGTGTTTTCCTGTCTGGCAGGCACCAGCCAGCCACAGCACCCAGAGAGAGAGATGAAAGGTATGTACGCGGCTTCAGGACTCCTGAAATTGACAACCTGTTCTTTACTTAAAATCCCAAACAAATAGGTAATGCCATTTGTTCTTAGTATATACCCCTGCAGTTGATCAAGATATCTCCTGTTCCGGGCTGGGATGAGCTAGAGGAATGCATGCTAATATGATCTGGTGCCAAAAAAAGTGATTATTCTGTATATTACATTTTCTCCTTTGAAAATTACAGCTCTTGATATCTCACCATTCCACCAGCACCCCACCCTCCCATCCTGCCCAGGTATATAGAGAACATTCTCTTGCAGCTCTTTCCCATCCATCTTAATCAGCAAGATTAAAAGGGAAAATTGAGAAGTTCTGGTTCAGTATTTGCAGAGCTGCCTAAAACCCAAAGTCTCTTCTTTATTTGGAATCTGGTAGAAATCGCTTCTGGAAAGAGTAATTCAGTAGAAGAGAGAAAAGAGGGGTTGTTATTCATGTCTTACTCCATATGGCCTTTTGCTTCGTTTTCCTCTCATTAAAACTGTTGAGTTCTTTTTTAAATCTGCATTTACATAGTGCCAATCTTTTGGACACAGTGAGCCCCACAAGAAGTACATTGTCAGGCTTTGCATGGTTTAGTTTCTGGTCTTTTTTATCTTTCTTCCATACAAGCTTTGAAGATTACCTTTTATAAGTGGGAAGCATTGAACAACCTAGTCGGGAAGCGTACTGTTTACAGTCAGGCATCTTGGGGTGAAACCTAAGCTCCCACCACTGACCGAAAGACATGGACCTTAAGTAAGTTAACTAACCTCTCTGAGCCTTGGATTCTACATTTCTAAGATGAGAATAGTACCTTTCTCACAGCTTAGTGGTGATGATTCAATGAGAAAATTGTGTACAGACTCAAATAAGCCTACTGTCATAGATACACAATAGGTGACAATTATTATTGTATCCTGTTTACTTGCCACTAGGTATTTGAAGCCTCTTACAGCGAAACAACATGGTGGTACTAAACTCTAGCTTTGAATAAGAATGTGTCAAAACACACGTTCAGGCTGAGGAAATATTTGCAACATACATGACAAAAGGATAATGTTCTTAATTTACAGAGAGCTCGTAGGAATCAAATTGGCAAAGGATAAGGCCAGACGGTTCACCCGTAAAGCACTACAGGTGGTCAGTAAACATCAGAAAAGGTGCTTGACCTTGTTCATAACAAGAACAAAAACATGCTAATCAGAAAAGATCCCATTTTTCACCTTCCAGGTTGTCATAATTTTTATCTTGGATAGTATCCAATCTGAGTGAGAATATGGGAAAACAGATACTCTCTTATAATATAGATGTTATTCTGCTTCCATTCTGTGTGTGTGTGTGTGTGTGTGTGTGTGTGTGTGTGTGTGTACCAAGAGTAGGACATAGAATTGGTACAACCTTTTTGGAAATAATTTCTCAGTGTCTTTCGACACATGCGAATACCTCTTGACTCCCTCGATTCTACTCTTAGGAATTTGCACACATGCAAAAGTGTATTCCTGCCTGAACACAGTTGTCAGAATATGTGTACATGGATGATTATTGCTTCATAGTTTCTAATAGTAAAACAAAACAAACAACTGGAAACCACCTAAAGTATTCATGATTGGGTGAGGCACTAGTTACATTGTGATAGTAAGGTCAGTGGAATTCTAGGTAGCCATTAGAAAAAAACGAAATATGGGCTGATATGGAAAGGTCTCGGTTTTTTCCCCCCTCTCCTCTGAGAATGTACATAAGATACCTACCTTGTAGGTTTTTTTCCCTTCGGAGAGAGGAAAAGGGTAGTGAGAGGAGTATGTGAAAAGACAAACATTAGGTGTTCAATAAATATTTGTTGAATACATTTTATACTTTGTGTATAGTCTGGTTTTTACCACGTGCATCCGTTACTTGTGTTTCAAAATCCATGGATGGGGCAAGGAGGGAATCACTAATAAGGCAGTAACAGAAATTGTTTTCCTGTAGTTGAGCAGAAACTCATCTTTGAGCTTCCCAGTAGCCAAGGCAAAGAGGGAACCCTGATAAGAAGCACAAAAAATTCATCAGGAAAGAGAAACATTCTCCTGATCTTCATCTCTAAAAGGTCTGTAGATACTAAGGATTGGTTGAAACTCCAGTTTCGTCTTGTCCTCCCCAGCTTAAAATTTGTGTGTGGATTCTTGCCATTTTTCTTCACGATCCAGCCTTTGCCACGTAACCTGCCTCCCCTGCTCCATGTGGATACGACACGCCATCCACACTGGCCTTTACACCTATTGTAACTTCTGCCTGCGGTACCCTCTCCGCTTCTCTACCTAGTTGTCAGCCAAGGCTGTTGTTTTGGGCTTTTTAAAGATTTTCAGTTGCTTGCTACCTCCACTGGTAATCCTTTTAGGTCAGCCGTCCCTTCTCTGTGCTCCCCAAGTCCCCTATGCCTCCCGCAGTGGCGGGACTTGTCACGCTGCACCGCACCGGAATTATTGTTTTGTTTTCCCCACTAGATAAGGAGCCCCTCAGGGTTACGGAGAACGTGTTGATTGTTTGGGGGCCCTGAGCACCAAGTGTTTGCTGACTGCTCTGTGGAGATTAGGCCAGAGGGGGCAAGAATGGAAGCCAGTAGACCCACAGGCAGGCTATTGAATATTCCAGCCAGAGGTGAGGATGGTTTGGACCAGAGGAGCCACAGTGGGAGCAGCAGAAAGAAGAGGTGGGATTCCAGGTATGAGTTGAAGGTAAAACTGACAAGGTGTCTTATGGCACATGTGAGAAAAGAGAATAAGGGGCCTCTCCGCTGTTTGTGGCTTGAGGAACTGGAGAACCTGGTTGCCATTAACTAGGTGGAAAAGACTGTGGGGAACATATCTGAGGGGGCTTGATTTGGGACACATGTTCCATGTAAAGGGGCTGTTGACAACCACGTGCAGAAAGCAGTAGAAAGGCAAACATGTGAGTCTGCATTCAGAGAACAGGACTGGCCCATAGACCCAAGTTTGGGAGCCATCTTTTAAGTGGTTTTAAAAGCCATGGGACTAGCATGGGACTTCCCAGGGAAGTGACTCTAGGTATAGAATGTCGACTAACTCCAGCATTAAGAGACGGGGGACATAGGGGCGCTTGGGGGGCTCAGTCAGTTAAGCGTCCAGCCCTTGCTTTTGGCTCAGGTCATGGTCTTATGGTTCATGTGCGTCGGGCTCTGTGCTGACAGCAAGGAGCCTGCTTGGGATTCTCTCTCTGCCCTTCCCTGCCCCTCCCCTGTGTGCCTTGTGTGCGATCTCTCTCTCTCTCTCTCTCTCTCAACAAACAAACATACGTTTTTAAAAAGAGAGAGAAATTAAGGATGTGAAGAGGCAGGGAACACTTCTGACATACATGAAGGAAAAACAGACTCAATCTGTGCTATGGTAATTGCTGACCTGCGGCTTTAATGCATAATCAAGTGACTTTTCTGAGAACTCAGCAGAAGTTTGACCTGTGAAGATGTTCTTAGTCCCTTTCCAAATAGAATATTTGTTGCCCACGCGGTGGGTATTATTTCAGAATAAACTTCACTCAGAATAAACTTCTCCACGACTAGACTTATGCTGCCTCCTTTTCAAGGTCATTATTCTTGATTTTTAAAAATTCTTTTTAAAGAAAAGAATCTCTTCACAGCTAAAGCCTATAATATACCCTTCAATTACCCTCTTCTTCTCAAGGTAGAAAAATAGTAGCTCATAATAGAAGCCTGTGGGTATGTGAACTCAAAAAGCATTGTCACCATTTTGAAGTACTTACTGTCCAGCTGCTTTCGAACTTGAAGGAAGAATTTCAGTTGCACCAGAATGGAAGTGGCAACACTGGGACTCTATCATATTTCTTACTTAATTCTGGGATTATTACTTGGGGAAAGTATAAGGTAATTTGAGAATATGATGGAACGTGTTTTACTTGTTCTTTATATGCCTGTCTCATAGCTGATATTCATACTCTGTTCACTGCTTATTTCTGCAAATGGGGGATTCGTTTAAAGTTCTGTTGTGGACAATAAAAATCAATTAAATCCAGGCAGACTAGAAACTCTAACTTCGTTTTGATTTGCTTGCTCAGGTTGTCCTTGAGGGTATCATCCCTTTTGAATATGTTTCTTGTGTGGTATGTGAAAATCAGTTCAGGTTTGCAATGACACAGTTTGGGTTCTTGTCTTACTAATCAATAGCGGCAGTCAGGGAGGCCTACTGATTCCTCCTCCAGTAGAACCAGGCCAGGCTTGAAGAGAGGTAATGATTACCGCTCTGATCACAGCATGTTCTCTTTTCTCCTTCCCACCCCAGAGCATGTCTGTTCGATCCTGGCTTCCCTCCTGCGGAACCTGAGAGGGCAGCAGCGAACCCGGCTTCTGAGTAAATTCACTGAAAATGACAGTGAGAAGGTGGGTGCCTGCCACACGGTAAGGAGGGGCCCAGGCCGGCAGGGCAGAGGGGTGCTGAGCTGAGCTCCTGCCTTCAATACCTTCTCCAGCATTGCGTTGGGTCTTCGAGGTTTTTCTGGTGTCTCTGCCTCTTATCTCCACGTACATCCTTCTGGGCATAGTAACACGTTAGGGTGGCAGCAGCCAGCTCCTTAGGGAGATGTTTAGAGCCAGGCAGAGTGGGTTGTACTAGGGTTTGGATTAAGGGTTGCACAGCATGGCTTACGTGGTGAAGAACATAGGCTCTGGATTCCGACATCTGGATCTCAACCTGGTTTTGCTCGTTTCAAGATGTGTGCCACTCTGCACCTCATTTTCCCTGTCTGTAGGATGGACACGTTAATTCCCATCTTGAAGAAGAGTCAATGAGAGGGAGATGAAATGAGTCCTTACTAGATGGTGGTGATGGAAATGAAGGCTCCGTGGTGGACCTAAGGAAATGGTTGAGCCAGTCCCTAGAGGGAGTGTGGGATGTGGGAATGATCACGTTAATGAGATTAGATAAGTATTTTATGTTGTTATTTAGCGTGCCATACCAAAAATAGATTTCTGACGGTACTAGGAACGACCATCTATTTAATGATTCCTGTGGATTGGGTCGCTCAGCAGGTCCCTTACGTTGTTGTGTATATGCTCACAACCCCGTGTCTTTACCCTTTGAGTAGGTATTGTTCACATCTGCGGACGAAGAAACTGAGGCATATGTCGTTTGCCCACGATCACTCTCTACCATGATCACACCACTCACTGGTCACAAGATAGATCGTTATAGATGCATAAAATTAAGGACCAGAGTCCCTTATATAACATTCAAATATCTCTTCCCTTCCTGCATCCAGGGTAAAGCTGAAAGATTGTCGTGCTTCGGAGAGAGGTTTATGATAGTGTCACTGACCATTTTTTCCAGCCTCACTGGCAGCGTGGCACGGGGAAGAGGCCATCGTGAAGTTAGGCGAGAACACCTTAGCAGTCATGCCACCCTGGTGACTTTTAACATCTGCACTTCAGTTTCTTCGTCCTTACTATTGGGGTCACTGTCTATCTTTCCCACCCACATTCTCAGGTTTTTATAAGCTCTAAGGAAATAGTGGACACAAAAATACTCAGTAAACTGAAATACATAAGGTCTTGGGGTCGTCGGTACGATCCAGAGAGGGTTAAGGCCCAGTCCTCCTGCACGCCAACGCCAAGCTGAATCACTAGCTGCTGCTGTAACCGCTATAAGCTCTCAAGTAAATACCAGGGTAGCCAGGAGCCGTGGCTGTGCCCACCTCATAAAGAGAGAGGTTAGAAGTCTAGACTGGCTTCACAGTGTTTGTTCAGTCTTTTGGAAAGTCATAGGGAAAAATGAAACTTTCTCAAACCCCTGCATGTTCCTCAGGCCATGTTTGAAGCATGACTTTTGCTAAGTTGAAAACTGATTTTTAAGTTCTCGCTGAGCAAAAGTCAGGGCCTTTTTTTAAGTTGCTGAAAGAGTGTTTTTTCTGGTACTCTCTTCTGACTCGAAAGCAACTAAAGAGATTTTACTCAGACTTTCTTAAAAAAAGATCAGCTCTGGGGTAGAATCCGAACATGAAAGGTTTCAGTTCGAAAAAAATTTTCTGTAAAGTTCTAAGTGAATATCAAGTATGTAACTTCAAGCTCCTTCTCTTTGCAAGAAGGGACTTGAATTCTTATTTATTGATTGATAGTTAACAGCTTGAGTCCACGGGGGCCCGGGCTGGGTTGGAAATGCAGCCTTCTTATGGGAGAGGCCTGTGTTCAGATGGTTTCCGCCCCAGGGGTCTGCTCGCCCTGCCCCCACTCTTCGGTCCATTCCTGCTGTGTTCCTACGCAGAGCTCAAGGCCCGGCCCGTGTTGTCAGAAGTGGTAGAGGGGCCCCCTGTTGGAAGGGGCGACAGTGAGAGCAAATGAAGAGGAGCCCCCCCCCCCCTTTCTCTCGCCTGGGTGTTCTTTGCCCTTCTCACTCATGTCTGAAATCTCTTGCTTTCAGGTGGACAGACTGATGGAGTTGCATTTTAAATACTTGGACGCAATGCAGGTGGCGGACAAGAAGATTGAAGGGGAAAAGCATGTACGTATCCCTGCCTACGTGTTGCCGCCTATTGGCTCTCATTCCGTTTGGGTCTCTTTGTCCCTTCTCTCTCCCCACAGGACAGGCAAGGGCACAGGTACCCCTACCCTCACATGCCACCTAGCCTGTGGTTAGAACAGAGCAGATGAAAGTGGTTATAGCTGCCCTTCCAGTAGGAGAGGCAGTCCTTTCTGAGAAAGGATGTGCTGTGTTGATCCGTGTCCGACCTGGCGGTATGGGTGGTTCGCGAATAGCCCTGGCACGAGCAAAGTGCAGGGCTGCAACTCGGTCCCACGCTGGCAGAGCTGGCAGAGTTTGTCTGGGTTCACACTCCTGTGCTGCTGTCATCGTAAGGAGAGCACCGAGGGAAGGGTGATTTCGAGGGGCGAGAACTGGGAAGAAAGTCTGAGGTCACTTGGTCCAGGAGCCCCACTGACAGATGAAAAGCCAGAGACCCAGAGAAGGGAGGCTCCGATGCTCTGTAGCAAAGCCTGCAAAGCAGCTGCCACGGGACTGGCCCTTATTCCTTCTGCCGGCAGCTGCTGGAAATGAGATTTGTTAGGTTTCTGTCTTGAGGGACCGTGTTGGCTGTGCTGGCGTCCTGCCTCCATACTTTCCACCTGCTTCTGCTTTGTGCTCTGCCATCTCTGGCCTCTGCCTTCCTCATCTGCCTCCTTCACTGGGGCAGGGATTCGTGTCTGCCGTTTAATGTCAGTCTGCATTCTCACCCCTGCAAGACCTTCCCCAGTCTGTGGTCACGTTGCAAAAGGATCCTTTCCTTGCTGTCTTCAGAGTGGAATGGGCTTCATTTTCCTTGTGATCTTGATTTGCTTTATCACTCCATTCTCTCTTCGTTCTTTGTTGCCTTAAAGACGCACTTGAGGCTTTGGACCCTCACTGGAGGGAGAGTCCGTTTCAGCACCTGGTTCCGGTGTGCTGGGGCAGTCCAGCTGCGGGACAAGCCATGTGCACAGGGAATTCCACCAGCGTTTGCCCTCAAGCGAGGCCTCAGGCCAGAGTGAGAGCCGAGCTGGTGGCGGGGGAGGGGGGGGTGGTTGTGGGACAGTGACCCTGTTGTCCGTATCCCGGTTCTCTTTTCCCCTTCGTATCCCACCCCTTTCACGAAATACGCACCTCTGTTTATGGATGCCAGTGGGCAGGTAGCTGTGGTTATCATTCTTGTGATTTCCCTAAACCTAGGAAGTCCTCAGATGTTTGTTGATTGATTGAATTGACTGCCTGGGACGTTCTTCGTTTATACACCGATACTGCAGCAAGATAACAGACCTAGACTGAGTTCTGAGGCTGGACTTCAGATGCCAGCGTGTTACTCACGCAGTTCCTTCATCCCACCCTCCCACTCTCTTTATTTTGTCCTTTGATTGAGGTTACCTTTTCCATCTTTTCTTCCCTTTATGGTAACTTGTGCAGGATGGACACCTAGTGACCATTTAAATGCCAGAATGATGTCTTCTTTCTATTCATCTGAATGATAATTGGAAACAAACTGAAATTTCCCTGGACTTTTGGAGGGACACAGCCGTGACACAGAACCCCAGCTCTGGCTGAAGACCCATGTTATCTGCTCTTTCGGGATAGAAAGAGCACCTGGGAGTCTAGGGAGCTAGAGTTTTAGGCAGGCACCGCCTCCTCAGTCCCTGCCTGGCCAGGGCTCATCACCATGCTTCGTGTAGCCTGTTCCTGGCTGTAACATGGTAGCAGCAAAGGTGACTTCTCAGGTCCTCCTCAGCTTAAAGGAGTCCCTCAGGTTCAAGTGAACATCTTGTGGGGACCCTGCCGATTTTTAGCAGTGGGACGGAGGAGAAGCACAGTGAGAGGCTGATCGGTGACCGAGCTATCCTTAGTACAGAGGAGCAGCAGCATTGGAGGAAAGGTTGGTGAGTGCAGAGTCACGGGAGCCTGGATTTTAATTCCAGCTCTGCCATGCCCTGGCTCTGAGACCTCAGACAGATGAGTTGACCTCTCTAAACTTTGGTTTTCTCATCTGTAAGATGGAAATAACACTTCTTTTTGGGGTTATTATAAACACTAAGCATAAAGTATGTAGAGCACCTTACTAAGTTTGTAAGAATATGTATTCCATTGTATATGTATATAATAATATATAACATAGTATATAATAACATATGTTAATATATATGTTATGATTATACACACACACACACACACACACACACACACTTGGTGCTCCTAGCCGCCTTCTCAGTTCTTGTGCAGCTTTTAAGCTAGTGAGCAGTCCCTTTCCTGAGGGCATCCCCCTTGCCATCTGTCCCGGAAGGAGGCCACCTGACAGACCAGAGTTGGTACCGTCATCTGCTTCATTCAAGAGGAAGCTGGAATAGACATTTTGCTGACGGAGACCAAGTAAGCTGTCGGGCATGAGGGGGAGCAGCTTGCATGTGGCCGTCAGGAAACTTGGCCTGCTGCCCACAAGATTATCTATTATCAGCATCGAAGAGGGTATAACATTGATTAGCACCGATGGTGAGGGAGAGTAATCGCTGCAGCCGCCCTGCTCCGGCATGCACAGAGCATGTGCCTGCCACGGGCACCGGAGCCCCGGCCGTTCCCCGACAAACATCTGTCTCCTTGATGCCAAGGCTGTTTTGCTGGGCACTGGCAAACATCCCCAGGCCATTAGTGCTCAGCAGCCTCAGCACCACTCAGAGAGACGGGTATGTGCATGTGAGCTGTGCCCTCTGCCAGCACTCTAGCTCCGACCTGGCCAATATAGCCGCCTCGCAGGTGTACAGGGACGTGGGACAAAATGACCTCTTTTTCACCTCTCCCGCATGCAGCCCTCTCTCTCAGGCCATAAACAATTTGTCGCCTCACCCCACCCCATCTCCATTAAACTTGGATGTCCTACACCCATTGGGAACTCAGCAAATATTTGTTGACTCGAATTGAATGCTTATTTCTCAGTCATTTGATGACATTGACTATGAGATCAGTCATGAATAAATATCTCACACACTTCACCAAGTCTGCAACAAAAAAGACCTTAGATAACAGGGTCAGGTATTGACCCAGGTATTGGGGGGGTCAGGTATTGGCATTTATAGTGTCTCAGAGCCCCCTTCTTTGCTGTAAACTTCAGACTTCCTTGGGCACAGTGCACATGGCCATGGTTTGCAGTTGACCAAGATTCACTGGAGAGCATCCAGTCATTTGGCAAATATTTCTCAGACTCCTGCCTGTGCAAGGCATCAGGCTAGCTGCTGGGGCGGGGGGGGGGGGGGGGGGGGGGTGAGATTCAGAGGTGCTGGTGGAGGAAGGAGCCCGGGGGCGGCACTCCTGGTGAGATCTGGAGGCACCCAGGGAGCTGGGGGGCAGTCGGCTGTACCTAGGGGCTCCCTCAGCTGTTACATGCATGAGGCAAGACTTGAGCTGCACCTTAAAAGATAGAGAGGTGTCAGGCATGTCCAACTAGAGGAACAGGAGCCAGGGAGGGGCAGGGGAAGCCAGTGCGGGTGCTAAGTTAGACCACAAGAGCAAAGGATGAGAAGTGGGAGTATGGGCTTTGAAGCCCGGCTCCTTTCTCGTTTCTGACTGGACCAGTAGCTTAGCTTCCCTGCCTTATTGTCTTCCTTGGTGCTGGTTTCTTTTTGAGGTGTGTGTCCCAACCTGTGTACTTAGGGGAATTACAAAAGGAGGATTTGGTGAAAGCTGAAAGCTGTTTCACAGGTTGTTGGCACATAACCGGCGGCCAGAGAACCTTGCGTTATCTCTTTAAGACCCATTTGCACCCCTCTCCGCCCTGCGTGCACTCACCTTTTCTGACTTCCCTCGTGCTGCAGGATTCTGCATGATCTGGGTGCTCCCTGTTTCGTTAACGTCCTCTCTTGCCCCTGTGCCCTCCTTCCTGCCCTACAGCCTTTGCGCTTGCGTCTCCCCCATGTCCTGGCTCTTCTGGTGCCGGTGCTGCCGTCCTCCTTCAGGTCTCAGCCAAATGTACCTCCCCAGACAGGTTTCCAGTGATCGCCGTGTGCAAAAAGCAGCACCCCCATCCCCAGTGCCTATTCATAACCTGTCATAAGTTAGCTGTTTACTGTGTCTGGTGTTGTAATCTCTCTTGTCCATCATATTCTCAGGACTTACATAGTAACCGACAAGCAGTAAATAAAGACCGTTGCTCATGAGATGAAATTAACATTTGTCCTTGGCTATGAAGGAAAGTTGAGGGTCCTGGGTTTTTCTACATTGTTCCTTAGTTCTTTGGGTTTTTGTTTTTTTTTTCTTGACTCTCCTTTTTAACCCTAATTTTTGTTTGCTCTATAATCAGCCCTGTCATCCTGGGTGGTTCAGTCAGTTGAGTGTCTGACTTTAGCTCAGGGGATGATCTCACGGTTCATGAGTTCAAGCCTCGTGTTGGGCTTTCTGGTGCCTGCACAGGGCCCACTTGAGATCATCTGTCCCTCCTCCTCTGCCCCTCCCCCACTGCACACCCTCTGTCTCTCTCTTTCTCACAAAAATATATAAGCATTTATAATTAGCCCCATCATCAAAAGTATCTAAGGACATCACGTAGACTCTGTGGCCTACCTGTAGCAGTGTTCCACAAGGTCTATGGGACAACCTGGTAATTCTACACAAACTCCGTTCGAATCCCATTCCTGCAGCGATCTGTGACTGTCAAAGACTTCCACGTCAGGCGCAGTGGCACACTGCTTCCGTATTCTGTTCTGCGGCTGTTTGATTCCAGGGCCGCAGTGTATCTGGACATATGCCCTCGGGGCTCCTGGCTACAAGGTTTGACCTGAACTTTTAAAGGGCATGTAATTCGTCGACTCTTCTGGTGAGCAGCAGTTCTCCGTGATCTGTAAATATGCAGGATGCTTGTCTTAGCAGATTTCACCCGACTCCCCAAACAACACAAAGCCCAGGAAATGCCAGGGGCCCTGGTATTGGGAGGTTGTCTTGACTTCTCGTTGGTTCCTTCTGGCTTCTATTGGTTAAATGTACAGATGCCTGGCTTC